CCCCCCAATGAACCATGCTACTTGAAAGTCAGGTTCCACAGCTTCAGTTTTATCAGACACCACAAGGGCTATCTTTAGCTATCTAAGGGCTAAACTAAGTAAGCAGTTCCATATGCAGCAAAACACAAAATCTTCCTGCTGTTGGGAAGTTATGATCCCATGTCATTGCATTCTATGAAGCTGCACAGTCTCATGGCCATCCTAACAGCCTAGTGGGAACTCAGCATGTACTTGCCAAGAAAAAACAGAGGGAAAGAAAATAGATTTTTCTTATGCCCTGTATTTCTTTGTGTGCATCTTTCACCTGACTGGATTATAATAATGTACTATGTAATTGCATAATTACAAATTTGTTCCTGTATTTATTTATTTATTTATTTATTTATTTATTTATTTATTTATTTATTTATTTATTTATTTATTTATTTATTTATTTATTNNNNATTTATTTTGCTCATTCATTCATTCATGCATAAAAGTATGTTTAAACTTGACTTCATCAAAATGGGAAGCCCTGAATATAATTTGCAGAACATACTGGATTACAATCTGAAATAATTCAACTTCATTTGAAGTACTCAAATTCAAGATGGCAGCCAAATATAACATTATTGTACTTGCAAGGAAAGAAAAACTTATAGAAATAATAAGATGGCAATCCATATAGTCTTCAACTAAAATTGAAGTTTAGGACACATAAATAAGAAATAATCATTCAGATGAAAAGTAAAATAAGTTTACCCTTATCTATGAGACAAAAACTCTTAAACAATTGCAGATATTACCTACCTTTTCTCGATTCACTTTCTTGATTGCCCATTTTATTCCTGTTTCCTTATGTGTTACTTCAATCACCACACCAAAGCTGCCTTGTCCTAATTTTCTTCCAAAAGAATAAATTTCCTACAAAATAAATACAGACAGCTATGCGTTGGACTTGATTACCGTTGGGCCTGTCCCACTCCACAGTTTTATAATAAAGAGGAGGAAGACGGAATTAAAAATGGAATCATGAATATTCCAGACTTTGTTACATTTTGGTTGGTCTTAATATTTTACCACAAAGAGGTAGATTTCCCTCCCAACAGATCGACACAGCTGCCTACATGTTTTTAAATCTTCTGCTTAAACATTACACTGAAAGTTCAGAGAGATACACTATTACCAACCTGAATTGCTGCTCCATCATCTATTCGCGTGTGAGGAATTTTGCATTCTGCATTACTGCCACGAATGCCTGAGGTTATGAGCATTTTTCTGTAAGAGTCTGTTAGGTCTGACTTTGACATCTTATAGGAATGCAAAAAGAGAAGCATGAAATTAAACTTCAGTACATTGTTCCACATACCTTCCAGCACATGAAGTAAGTTATAATAAAAGTTATTATAGGAAAAACAAGAAAATATATGAACTGGGACAATAACCAGAAAAGGAGATAAAAATAACAGCAAAGGTATAAATTAGAAGGTAAAACGGAAAAAAAATTGTAGGAACACTATAAAATAGCTCTAGATTTCCCCCCCAACTCAGACATTTTGATGACTTCCAGTGAAGAAGTCCTCATTCATTTAAGTGCTGTCATCTTCAGCTTTAGTAACATCAACCAAAGTTCCACCAACAACAGAACGTGGACCACACTGCATCTCTTCCAAAAAATCCCTCTCTGCCCTGTGTTCTGTAAGAGAAGTTATACGTCTATCTCGTAGCAGGAAAAGCAGTTGCTCTGTGTAGCAGGAATACAAAATTATGAAAGCACAGAAATGTCAAAGTACAAATATTCTGCCTTGGTAGTCTGCATGGTATAATTCTGAGGGCAACTGTAACTGTAATATGTGCTTTGCATGCAGAAGGTCCAAGTGGGCTGGGAAAGACTTCATGCAGAGACCCTGAGGAAACTGCTGTGAATCATAGCAGGCAGTACTGAACTATAAACTAATGATCTGATTCAGTATAAAATGTGTTCACGTGTTTATAGGAACTGTTTCATATAAATCAGTGCAAATGACTCTAACTGCACTCACATTGATCTACTAAGCATCAAAGTCTAACCACTGGTTTCTAAATTGCTTTCTAAACTGAAGCTGAACTACATAGAATAGAAAGAAGGCATGTGAAAAACTAAGTGCCAAGTGTATTTACAGTTGAGCTTGTGATTATGTTACTGACTTGGAACCACCTGAATAAGGAAAATGGTTACAATAGGATCAAATATTCACAGGGGTAGTTATGTTAGTTTGTCATAGCAAATAACTGCATGGTATTTTTAAAAGCTGAAAACACTGATAATAGATTTGAGTAGTAAAATAACCTTCCAGGGCATAACCTGGTAGGGGAGGGGAAACTATTTCTTTTAGTATGAATGATCGAACATGTTTCTACCAATTGTGTTGTAAAAATGGATTATTGTAGCAAAATGAATGGTAACTAAGCCAATATGTAATTTTAAAAAATAAACTTGCATGTATTAACAGGTTAAGTATTAATGTGATAGTGGATATCTCAGAAATAAACAAATACTTGTATGATGTGGGATGCGGGAGCTGCTGGAATTATGCTTAATATGTGATATTTACATTAATAGCTGTAGCCCTATGGACTCTTACATGTAGGAAGCACAGGACATTTTACATTTCTCTATCTGAGGGAGGAGAGAGAGAGATCCCTTCTCACAGGGGGAGATGCAACCTTGCAAATAATCTAATAATGGAAGAAATATCCACAGTTTCTGCCTGTCTGATACAGCTCCAGCATTGCTTGAAGGGGAAAGAGGTTGTAAAAGAAAATTTCATACGTATGTATGGCGCAAATCATATATTCCCATTTCCTTAAAAGAGCACTGGAGCTGGGGAAAACATAAAAGGAGAAAAATTAGAGAAGATAGGTGTGACAAAATGTCACTTCTTTCTCCTTTCCAAGGTGCCACTGTGAGGCCTGCAAGGTAAATGGATAAAGCACTTCCTTCACCCCTCTGTCGCACCAGTAGAATTGTTTTGTCCCAGAGTCAAAACAAAGGACAACAGAATGGGTTTCTTATGCACCAGTTACCATTTTTGTACTATTTAAACTTTTTCAAAACATCTGTTGTGTTTGACAAATCAATCGGGTGTGTTTTTTTAATATGCTACTGGCCATCTGACACATTCACAATCAATAGCAGGACAGCAACAATTGGCAATGAATAGCCATCTGACACATTCACAATCAATAGCAGAACAGAAACAATTGGCAACGAATAGTTTAACATTCCATGTCTGAAATCCAGCCATGTAAATTGTGCTGGAATAAGGCTGTTGATGTCATCAGCAAGGGCAAATTTTCTGAAATTCAACATTCTCTACATTGTTTTCCTCACCATAGGAGCTATAGGATAGGAGGAGGATCTTTAATTCCTGAAAATCATCGGGTTTTTTAAAGTCATCCAAGTGGTGGGAATTAATTAAAAATTTCATCCTCTCCTTCTGTGGTTCCCATGACTTCCTGATGATGAAGGGAATTAAATTACTTAGGAGCCTTGGGACAGAAATAGGAAATGTTTAATATCCAAAAGGTAACCTCTAGCCTTGTAGGGGAATAGATTTTTTTGGGAACAGGATTTCAGGCCATGTAAGGGCATGTTCAAACATTGTTTTCTTAGACTGTATCAAGCTTGTGTCCCTCTTTGTAAGAAAGCTACTTCCAAAGAGATAGAATTACAGTGACACACCAAATTATGGATTATCCTCTAAAATTTCTTTTAAATGAAATTTGTATTTATTCAAGATTTTTGCAACAAAAGCTTTTAAAGGTTCCTCTCTACAAGTTTTGAGCGTATCATACTAAAGGCAATATTATGAAATAAAATAAATACATTCCCCTAAATAAATACCCTTGAAAATGCGGGATTGAAAATGAAACAGAAGGCTCCTGTAAACCACTTCTGGAAAGTCAAAAGTCACCAGTAAAGTTATTTATTTAGGTATGTTTTATTTAAATCATTTGCATATCAGATTTCCTCCAATACATTCCAGGGGAGTGAACAGCAAATATAAATATAAATTATTTATTTCACTTGCAGACATAGCCAGCTTTGCATGACTTAGAAGCCTTCTAGTGCCCCACCCAACTGTGTTTTTTTCCTCTCACCTAGCTACATACGCCTTCTTCCCCTTCTATTTTTTTCCTTCACATGGAAAAAAGTGCTATTTCTTTCTCCCTACCCACTTACTCCCAAAGAGCATCTTCCTCTCACTATCATTTTTGTGGGCTTTCTCTTCCTTCTCTGCCTTTCTGTGGGTAGGTGGGTGGGTTAAACCTTTATTCTTCTTTTTATTGGTCATTAGCATTTCTCTCTGCTTATTATCCTGCCTGCCAGACAGGTGGACCTTCCTCCTCCTCTTTCTTTTTCATTTATCTAAGTTAAAATTAGAATTAAAATTAAAAATTCAGTGTGGAAAACAGCAGCATTCTTACATGAATACCAAATCAATTGAGTCAAATATTTTGACTTGAGCTCCAAGAATCCTCACCCAGCCAGCATAGGCAGTGGTAGAGAATTACAGGTATTATAACTCCAATATACTGTACATGGAGAGCCAAAACCCTCCCACTCCTGAATTAAGTAATAAATATAACTTTAATACTTGTGCCAATGAAATGGCTATGAAATATCTCATAACTTCTTGACATAGAGCACTTATAAGGATGTTTCAAGTCACATGATCCTTGAAAAGACATCTTTGACGTTTAAGCCAAAGAAAGATGAATAGTATCTGCTTATGATTATCCTTGAGAAACACAAAAACACTGGGCGTGAGAGACTGAGAAAAGAGCCTCCTGGAACATTTATAAAATGGAGGTTTTTTTGAAGAACTGAATTATATTTATGCCACCATCTTGCCAACATCTGGGGGTTTTTTTAGCTTTATGTTTACATATACTGTTTTCAATTTTTTACTAATTTGATTATTTGTTTTATTTTGCTGATTTTTTGTTATGTAACATTACTTTGTTTATATTCTTTGTAAGATGCCCAGAGTAGTACTTCGTACTAATAAGGTGGTATACAAGCTTACATAATAAATAAATTTGTGTTGTTGCTTTCCATTCTTTTCTTTCTTGCTGCCAGTTCCCATTTTAAATTAGGGTGTGTGCTGTGATCTGCAACACAGAGAGTCTGCTTGGAGACAATTGTGTCATCCCCTCCCCAAACTCTATATCACTATTCCAAAACCTTCACCAGGAGCTCAAATTTGAAGCTTCCCTAGAGTAAGAAATACACTGGATTTCATAATCACTTTGCACAGATCATTTATTTTAGCAGACCCATAAATGACAGCTACTAGTCTAAACTTCACTAGAAGGTATCAAACCATGACAATCAGTTCACAAAAAAATCTCTAGCATCCATACCACCAACTTATTATCCAATTGAAAATAGAGAATGAAGAACATTCTTGCAACATGTTACATGTGTTGTGCTGAGACAGCCCTTATATAGCAGGCATGAAGTTCTCAACTAGCTCCACCACAGTAATCCTACTATGAATGATGTAGTTAGTCTTCAGGCTTTTGGAACTGATACTCAAAGACACGCTATCCAGCTTGGATAGGAAGACTGATAGGAGCAGGTACCCATTGCACCAGCAAAACTTGGATAGGAAGACTGATAGGAGCAGGTAGCCACTGCACCAGCAAAATCTCTAACCTGTCTCTCAAAATTTAATACAAACACTTCTATCCAGATATCTACTCCCTTTGGGATATAGAGTCCTTGGAAAAGGAATGGGCCTTTCTGGCTTATACTGTAAGTCCTAAACAGCAAAAACCTCATAGACCCAAGGTTGGGGACCACTGCTCTAACCTGCTCTGACTCAAAATTTAATACAAACACTTCTATCCAGATATCTACTCCCTTTGGGATAAAGAGTCCTTGGAAGAAGAATGGGCCTTTCTGGCTTATAAGTCCTAAACAGCAAAAACCACATAAATCCTAAACAACAAAGCCCATAGCAAGGGATATTGGCAGTTACAGTCAAACAAATTCTAGAAGGCCACAGGTCTCCTTCAAATTATATTTAAAAATTGGAAAATTACTTCTGATGAAATAATAGTTTAACAGAATAGAAATGGCTGTGGGGAAATGTTGATTTAATTTCAATGAGTTCACTAGAATATTTTTGTGAAATAGTCTTCCAAAGGTATCTAAAACCTCATATATTTGCAATTATATATAAAAATTGTTGGATAAATGCTGCAGATATAATTCACAACATTCAGATATTCTTAAAGTACAGTGGTGCCCCACATGACAACAACCCCACAGAATGACGAAACCGCATGACGATGCCTTTTTGTGATCACTATAGCGATTCACAAAACAGGCATTTCGGTGGGGGAATTCTGCTTGACAACGACTTGGTCCGTGCTTCGCGGACTGTTTAATCGCAAAACGACAATCTTTACAGCTGATCGTCAGCTTCACAAAATGGCCTCCTGCTGTTTTCCAGACCCCTGCTTCGGAAGACAGCGATTAAAAACAGCTGATTGGTGCTTGCAAAATGGCTGCCCTATGGAGATTCTTCGCTGGACGACGAGGTAATTTCCCCATTGGAATGCATTAACCGGTTTTCATTGCATTCAAATGGGAAAACTGTTTTCACATGGTGATTTCCCTGCTGTATAACGATTTTAACGGAACAGATTATCATCGTCATGCGGGGCACCACTGTATGTTTATCTTGTCTGACAATTTGATTTCTTTTGCCTACTGTGGTAGAGTTTATACCACTGGATCACAAGAGTAATTCTGTAGAGTTATATAAAATAACTTAATGAGGCAAATACCAAACTGGTCTCAAGTCTACTTGATGTTGCTAAGCAGACTAGAACAAACAGGAAGGCCTACTCTTTAAATGATTGGTTTAATTGCATCTGGAATATTGCCTTGTTAACAAAACTGACATATTACCAGAAAATGGAATGAAATTATTTGCAAAGTGCACATAAATTTTATGAACAATAGACAACATTTGCCATGGAACTGAATGAAAAAGGAAGAAATGCAACATACTCTTTTGCTTTTTATGAACTGCTACAGGAAACTGTAATTTTACAGAAATATGTATTTTGTTTTGCTTTTTAACATAACAAAGTATGTTAATAAACAAAAGAAATATGAAGGGCTACCACTGTTTCCCCCTTTTGGCCAACTCCCTTGTCTTTCCTGACTGCTTAATATATGATACAATACCACGCACCCAGGGAGACAAACCTGAGTGAAAACAGTTCCTTTCAGGTCAACCACTGCCACTCAGCTCTCCATAAGGAATCACAGCCCAGTCCCTTCAATCACAATTAAATCATGAACTATAGATGTCTTATTATAGACTGATCAACATACCCCCTGAACACACTAATTTTGACACTGACACTAAGCAGTGTCGAGTCAGGGTAGTACTTAGATGGGAGACCACCAGGGAATGTTGTTGTTATGTGCCATCAAATCACTTCCAACTTATAGTGACCCTATGGATGAGTGATCCCCAAAATGTCCTGTCCTAAAATGCCCTGCTCATTTTCTGCATATTCAAACCTATGGGATCCTTTAGGGAATCAGCCCATTTCATATTTGGTCCTCCTTTTTTCCTGCTGCCTTCAACCTTTCCCAACTTTATTGTCTTTTCCAAAGAATTCTGCCTTCTCATGATGTGCCCAAAGTATGACAGCCTCAGTTTTCCTTCAGAGATAGTTCAGGTTTGATTTGATCTAGGACCCACTTGTTCATCTTTCTGGCATTCCAGGTTATCTGCAAAGCTTTCTTCCAGCACCATGCTTCAAATGAATCAATTTTTTTCTTGTCAGCTATATTTACTGTCCAGCTTTCGCACCCATACATTGTAACTGGGAGTTACCATGGGTGTGCTAATTGAATGTGGATGACCTTGGTCATGGTCTCCAGTGACATATATTTACATTGAATGATCTTTTCTAATTCTTTCGTTTGCTGCCCTTCAATTTTCAGTCTTCTTCTGATTGCTTGGATACATTCTCCATTTGGATTGGTGAATTAATACAAAATCTTTCATTATTTCATTTTCTTCATTGTCAGCATTAAAGTTGTGGAGTTCTTCTATAGTCATGGTTTTTGCCTTCTTAATTTTCAACTGCAGTCCTGGATACATTCTCCATTTGGATTGGTGAATGAATACAAAATCTTTCATTATTTTAATTTCTTCACTGTCAGCATTAAAGTTGTGGAGTTCTTCTTAATTTTCAACTGCTTTGGCACTTTCTTCTTCCACTTTCCCCAGAAGTTGACTCCAGTCATTGCTGCTTTCTGTCCTTTCTTCTTCCACTTTCCCCAGAAGTTGATTCCAATCATTGCTGCTGTTAGCAAAATGTTCTCTGCATATCTTAAATTAAGAATTTTCTTCCATTAATTTTCACTCTTTTATCTGAATCGAGTTCGGCTTTCCATATGTGTACAGATTGAACAGATAAGGGGATAAAATGCACCCTTTCCCAATAACATTGACTATAGGAAACTATTCTGTTTCTCTATATTCTGTCCTAATGGTGCTGAGACACATCCATTTATTTCTGAACAACCTATAGTTTCTCATATCCACACAGTCAAAGGCTTATACTCTATAAAGAGAGCTAAAGAATCCAAAACGTGGTATGGGCATCAGAGTGTGACAAGGAAGAAGGATTGATTGCTTACCTGTAACTGCAATTCTTTGGGTGGTCATAAGTGGCTGCAACCAGGTTGCAGTCTTGCATATGTCAGGCAAAGCCAGTCCTCTTTGGGCAGTAGTCAAGGCTGCAACCACTCACAATATTGGTTTTTAATACCCTGAGCTATGGGTATTATAATACCCTGAGCTATGGGTATCATAAACTAAGTTGATGGTCTCTACAACCCACTTTGCCAATCTTAGGGATAACACTAGGTTGCCCTCCCTGGTGCCTTGGGAGCAGAGGATAGTTGAACAGACTTCCAAAACTCCCTCATGCAAGAGGGATAGAAGGCCAAAGCTGTAGGTGGGAAACAGAGGAAGTCCAAGAACACTAAGTACGATAATAATACTGTTACTTTCACTAAGTACGATAATAATACAGTGGTGCCTCGCTTAACGAGCGATGAAATCGCTTAACGAGGTGCTCTTGGCCATCGCTGGAACATTCGCTCAGCGATGGCCCCTATGGCAATTTTTCGCTTTGCGATATTCGCTAAGCGATTCGCTTAGCGAATATCGCATAACGAAGCGGGGGGAGGACAGCTGATTGGCGGTTCCAAAATGGCCGCCGGAAGGTCCACGCCGCATTTTCGCGCCCTGCCCTCGCTTACCGAGGGCGCGAAAATGGCGGCGCTATGGCAGAACCTCGCTTAACGGTGAGTTTTCAAGCCACAGGAACACATTGAACAAAGTTCAATGCATTTCTATGGTTTTTTTTATTCCGTTTAGCGATGTTTCGCTATAGCGAAGGTTAATCCGGAACGGATTAACCTCGCTATGCGAGGCACCACTGTACTGTTTTTTCATTATCGCACCAAGGAAAATGAGAAAGTAGATAAACCTATTTGTAGTTTGGGGAGAAAAAAACCTAAGTAAGACTCCAGTGTTCACTCGAGATGCTGCTTGTGTAGCAGAGAGAGATGACGTGTCTGAGAGTCGTTAGGGTGTGCCTGGCTGTGCGCAATAATGCTGGAGGAGGGAAAACACCTCTCCTTAGGCTCTGGGAAGTTCCAAGGCTAGTTTCTGCATAGGCACAGAACTCATATGTGTGTTTCACAGAGACCACAACGAAGAAGCAGATTTACACATAACTCCTGTATGTCTTCAAAGTATTTTCCCAGTCCTTCTGTCAGTATGATATTACACTTTGCAGGCAAAATTGCTCAGATCCACTCTGACTTGGATGCTCTGGTTGATACAGCTTCTGTGAATGTAATTAAGGCCCCTGCTCGTCCTGTGTGGACAGGGCCCTAGGAGACAAAAAGGCTATAATGTATCTCTTGTACCCTTGCCCTTCATGGATTATATAAACTGCCAGAAAAGAACTATAGCAGTCAAGTGAGTAGGAGTGATGAGTGCCTCCTTGCAACAAGGCAGAATCCTAGCACACTTAAAGGATGCAAGAGTAAGATCATTGTTTAAAAAAGGTCTGTGTCAAGAGTATGCAGATGACACCCAAAGCTATCTCTCCTTATCATCTAGATCAGGAAGGAAGGAAGGAAGCCAACAACCTAAGTTATAACCTTCCCTTCAATGGAAAATATAACAAACAAAAACAGGGCCCCTCAACAAACACAGGGTTCCAATTAACAGTTTGCCTAATAAACAGACATCACTAATAGTGTGCAAAACCCTGGCAGAAAGAAGGACCAGAATTCAGACAACAGGATAGATAGAATGTATTTTTCTGGCTTCCTGTTGTGTAGAATTAGAATACATGTAAGAGAACTTTTTGTGAGAAGGAGTACTTCATGCTGCCCAAAAGAGCACTTTGCACTAATAGGCTTGCCTTAGTACAAATACAGAAGAACACTTTTCTGACAGTTGTCTTTTCAGAATTCTTACCAGCCCCAGCACTCTAGGCACAAGCATCCAACAGGAATTCTCACCCAGCTCCTACAACTGGGGATGCAAAGTCAACACATCATATACACCAAGGAAAAAGGAACATATGTTTCAAACTGTGCTGCAAGTGACATATCTTCTCTATCCCTTTCCAATATATGCAAGTTATCTTAGCTATATTGGGTGCATTATTTTTTAACACACAGGAGACACAAATGTAAGCACACACCCACAAAGAGAACCTCACTGTTCGTAAATGTTTGGCATTCAACTCCAACCATTGCCCCCAATTTCCACACATTCCTCATTATCGCACCAAGGATGCCACAGAGCCCTCTCTCTCTCATTCACAAGATCATGGCCTGGACCTGTGGATCAGAAAGTGTCTCCCATGAAGCATGCAAGATAAGTTCAATGTGTGCGCACACACACGCCAGGGGAAGGAAATCTCTGAATTTAGTTTGCTTACGTCTCCTACAAGAGATGTTTGTTTCTTTGCTATGCCTTCTTCAGAGTTTGAACGTTTCTTCACTAAAGCTGAAGCAGGTGATGAATCTGCAGTCTCTAGTGAACCTTCTCCAGAGCATGTGGGGCCCATTTCGCAATGGGCACAAAAAAATACAAGATTGCTTGGTTCAAAAGATGCAGAGCACTGGGTGCATTTTACAGTCTTCTTTTCCTGACTGAGATCTGCCATCTGTTTGCTCATGCAAATTCTGCTGTGCAAATTAAAATTGGTATCACTGTGTCCACTGTTGAAGGAAACAGAAGAAAAAGCAGAGAAAAGAAATTGGAAGGTCACACTGAAGAGACTGGTGGATAAAAATGTGTTCTGACTGGTAAACACTTTTAAGCAACAGCAGTATTTAAATACACCATTAATATATGTATATGTTCTCTCTCTCTCTCTCTCTCTCTCTCTCTCTCTCTGTGTGTGTGTGTGTGTGTGTGTAGCAAATTTATAGAATCAAAGTGAAAAAATGCAGTTGTAAAAATGTGTTATGTACAAAGGAAACTAGCACAAAAAGGAACTTGCTGGAATATTTCCACATGTAAAAAATAGAAGCATTCAAAACAAGCTTGCTTTCAGATAACACAATTACTGTATAAACTAGCCTAACTTAAAATCAGATCTACTTAAGTAAGATACAGTGAAATGTGTTATTTTAACCTTGATAGTTTTTTTAAAAGTTACTAGCAGAATCAATTCAAAACAGACACAGGTTTACCAATACTATGTGACAAAAAGGGTCTTTTTGCTTTTTATATATATATATATTTCACATTAAAAACACATTGTTTGATGTCATTATGCTGTGCATCTCCCCACCCATAGTGAATATCACTAAGTAGTAGAAATACAGGGGAATGCACAAGACTCTGTGTGTGTGTGTGTGTGTGTGTGTGTGTGTGTGTGTATTCTGTTTGCATTTGTCCATGAAGTCTGTTGACAACTGATGGTAATGCAAAATGATCATATCAATTCTGCATTTATAAGGGTAGTTTCTGTGCTGCTACTTTATTCAATAAGGCCATTTTTTAATCAATAAGTCCTTCAGAGCCAATCTATGATATTACACATGTCTATGAAAGAAGGACATTTCTTGTTACACAGAAACACTGGTTACCAGTCTGTTTAGAGGCACAAATGGTGGTTAACCACTACAAAACCTGTATAGCTTAAGGACAGTCTGAAAAAAATGCATCTTCCTGTATTAGCCTCCTCAGCTCTAAAATCTTTGGAGAAGACTCTTCTTTTGGTCCACTCACCCTCATATATGTCTCTGGTGAAAGCAGGAGAGAAGGCCTTTTTGGCGGCTGCTAGTAAGCTGTGGAGCTCCCTTCCGAGGGACGCTAGGTTGACCCTCTCTCTATCCACTGAAAGACAGCAGGTTTTTCTCTTCTTGCAACTTTTTGGCAACAAAGAAAGAAGACTGCTTAGAAGGTGATTTTAAAAGGGGAATGTATACTTTTAATTTTTACTGCTTAATGATGTGTTTCTAAGTTGCTTTAAAGTATTTTAATTAATTGGTTGCTTTTAAATAATATGTCTAATTGGATTTTAACATTATTACTTAATTTATGATACCTTCATATTAAACTAAACACCTAATGAAAATGTTTTATATTATTGTATACAACTTACAGTATATTTTGCTTCTCTGTTTTTAAGGTGTCTTGGATTCCTGTGTTGGGAGAAAGGAGTGAAACAAATAAATAAACAATAGGTGACTAATTAATGCAATATTTATCTGGTAAAACTGTTTAGTTTGTTCAGAAACAGTTTTCACTGACAGCCCCCCCCCAAAAAAAGTCCAAGTTGAACTTCTTTTGGACCATAATTTTTAGTCATGTTTGAGTACAGTGTTAAAATATAGTTCTGGGCATAAGCATCTGGGGCGTGATCCAGCCAACATTATTTATTTTTTAGTTCAGCAGATTTCAGGTCAAGACAATAAAGCATGTGTTTAATTCTTCCATTAACTAATTAATATGCAGTATATACCACTGGATTTAACCATGAACTTAGTCTTCTATATGTAGATGTTGTTTATGTTTTCTAGCTTTGGTATGGCCTCATTTTCTAAACATTACACATGATTTCAAGTGAATACAAGGGAAAAAACAAAGGGGATTGCAATTTCATCATTCCTACTTCTCTAGATGCTTTAGGCAGAATTCCCTCATGGCCATTTAAGCAGATTTTATTAACTATTTGGTGTGTTGGGCTCTGTGATGGAATTTAGATTTTCCAGTTGTACTGGAAAGGCTGGTTTTTTACTACAGCAGTAATATAGAAGAACCTTGCACTCTCTGAATAAACAGCATTGGAGCAGAAGTGCAGAAAACCTCAAAAGCTATTAGGGTTAAACTGGATGTTATAAAAGACAAGGTTTAAACAACACTATTTATCTTGAGGTCTTCAGTTTACGAAAAGGTAAAGTAGTGCTACATTGTTATGATCTGGTATCGGATTTTTGCTAAGTGCAGGTCCACAAAACATCTTAGTACATACGGTGAAGGCCATAATGAAATGAGTAATACCATCATGGAAGGAAGTATGAGCAACACTGGATAAAGATAAATCACAGTACTCCAAAACTACAGACTACATTCTATCTTCCTACTGTTCACTGGATATCAAGAAAATTAAAAAATAAACTGAGATAAAAACAGTGCTGGAGAAGTAAATATTTATTTTACCATGCATGAAGTATTTGAGGCGAAAGGACATGGGGCCTTTGACAGAAAGTACTCTTTGTACTCTGTATTATTGCTTGATTCTTTAGAATAGAGTAATTCATTTAAACTAGTGTTTGTTCCACTATATGCAACTCAAGCTTTCCTTAAATCTTCAGCTCTTTTATTTGCTGTATGATCTATGTTAGCTTTCACTTTATGAAATCCTTTTCACATGTTCCCAAAATCATATTTTAGAGGTGAGTTGTCTCAAGTTAAAATATTACTGTAGACATTATCTGTTTCATACTGAGTCATGTGACCCAAAGTGTAACAGATAATGTTTATAGTAATTTCTTTACTTCAGGCAGTTCATTTCCAGAAGCTACATCAGGGGTCAGGGAACTTTTTTACCTTTTACCCCCCAAAAAATTTATATACGCCGACATTACCTCCTTGATTCAAAAGGAAGGAAATCATACATTATTTGAATTAAAAATATTATTGAATCTACACAGGCTGTGTACTAAACTAGCAGGATGCACCAAATTTGATAAAGATGTGCACTATTTTTGCTGGAACACATTGCACTCCAGCCATGGTGTGGTATAGGGAGTAGTAAGGTGTCCAACGTGCCTAGCAAGTTACATTAAATTTTTGCTAGCTCGCAGAGGATTTAATCATCATCAGTGGCTACCAGAGTGGTGCTAGCAATGACATGCTTGCTAGAGACAGCCAATGCAGAATTGGACATGGGGCTTTCCCTACCACTTTAATCATTCTATGTGTGGTGTGCAAAAAGGAACAAACCAGGCTAAAGGCCTTGTTACCCACCCTGGTGCCACAGCTCAATATCAAAGGACCAGTGGGCTTTTATCATCATCATCAATGGAAAACTCAGCAGTGGCCAGAGGATTGGAAAAGATCAGTCTACATCCCAATCCCAAAGAAGGGCAGTGCCAAAGAATGCTCCAACTACCGAACAATTGCACTCATTTCACATGCTAGCAAGGTTATGCTCAAAATACTACAAGTTGGGTGGGCTTCACCAATATGTGGACCAAGAACTCCCAGAAGTACAAGCTGGATTTTAAAGGGGCAGAGGAACTAGAGACCAAATTGC